CAGACTCCAGGACTGGCCCATGTTCCTCCCCAACCTCCTCACTGTCTGAATCTGCTGGCAGCCCCACTGGCCACTGGCAGGCCACAACACTACCTCCTTAAAATCAAACATGTCTTGTGGCGTGTTTGTCCAGGAAAAGAAAGAAATCCCTACTGCCATATGGAATTCTTGCTTCCTTGCTCTTTTGGAATCACTTTTACTCCTTTGAATCCAAATTGCGTCATAAGATCACTAAATTAGGGAGGGGAAATGAGTTACCTGACACCTCTGAGTTATGACTCCCAAGTATCCTGGTATCTTGACTAGTGCTAGGAACTATTGAATCCTATAGTTAGGTAATTTCAAAAGACCCACTGTTGTTCCTCGTAGGATTAGCTGGATGGGTGTTCAAAATTAGCAGTGCATCAGTCTTTATCAAGACATCCAATTCTGGACATTTTGGTTGGTATTTTTATTGCCAGTATATGCCACTGTATGACCATAAGATTTGATATGATATCGGTATAGTATTGTAACACTTCAGTGTCAGAATTTGTTTCCATTTGTGATTATTTCTGAAATCAGGTTTGTAGACTAGAATCGCCATTCCGTTTTAAAATCAGATTACCCATTCCTTTACATTCATTGAATATTCTGTTTCCAACCAAGGATGGCTTGTAAAAGGAGAAAAACCTTCATAGCCAGCAAAAAAAAACTGCAGGATTTAACCACAGTTGCAAATCTAGATTAGTTGCAGCAACTGTCTCATTCTTGCACCCATCACTCTTATGATGAAGCATTAATTATTTAATTGTTGGGTTGCATCTATTTACATTGGTACATTTTGTAGATTTATACTGTAAACCGGATCATTGCTTCTATCCCTGATGTTGATTCTTTGGCTCTGACTATTTCCCAAGTGGCCTAACAGCTGCTTCTTTTGCTAGCTCCAGAGAATGAAACTCTCAAACGGCCCTGGAGACATGGAAGCCGGTACGGGCCCTGCAATACCTCAGAAGAGATGCCTGCATTTTATTTCTCCAATTTTTGTGCAAGCATTCACTTTAACATTCCTGGCTGAGTGGGGCGACCGCTCCCAGTTGACCACCATTGTCCTGGCAGCAAGAGAGGTGAGTCAACTGCATAAGAAATGTGCAGGATTAGAAGTTACAGAGCAAAAAGTTCAAGCTCCGATTCGGTACAAATAGATTAATATTATGATTTGAGCCTTAAGATGTGCAGTAAGTCCTCTTCCCTTGGGATCTGTCCAATTTAAAAAGCACAATTATATTGCCTGCTCCATGGAATGTACTCAATAGAGTTGACATACCTGAGAAAGGACATTACCTTGATTATATCTGTGCAGAGAAGCGATGGGACCTGCAATCATAAGGCCCATATGGCTTTGATTTAATATTCCATATGTTAAATTGTTGCTTCCATGGACTGTGCAAGGCACACCATGGAATCTGACCCAGGAGAAACTAGTTCAGCTTACATAGTTACCTCTGAAGACCTGGAAGTACAAGTCTATGTAATTAGTTACTGAGTTTTTTTGGTTTAATATTAATACATTTTTATTCCTTGGCACTTTTATTCTGTCCAACTGGTTACGTACATTAAGGGGGGGGGGGATTGGTTCTCCTGGTGGGTTCCACCACAAATCCGCGAAGCCCTTCTGCGCGGAGACATAAGCGCGAAGACTAAATCGCGGCGTTCTAAGC